GTGTGCGTGCGCGTGCGGGTGCGTGTGCGTGTGGGTGTGGGTGTGGGTGTGCGTGTGCGTGTGCGTGTGCGGGTGCGGGTGCGGGTGCGGGTGCGGGTGCGGGTGCGGGTGCGGGTGCCGGTGCGGGTGTGGGTGTGGGTCCGGGTGGGAGGATGGATGGATGGATGGATGGATGGATGGATGGATGGATGGATGGATGCGGGCGTGGTGGTGGGCGGCGGGCGTGAGGGATAGCCGAGAAAGCAAACAAGAACCCACAATGATGTGGGGAAGAAGAAGAAGAACAGCAACAACAACAACAACACGACAAAAAGCAAATCACCGGCTGGGCCAACGGTGTTTCCTGTCCCTTGTTTAGTCATGGCTTTTGGTTGCTGCCCTGCACCAGGGCCAGCCAACCAAAAACGACACTGAACTGTAATCGCTCGGAAATCGGCCAAGAGCGTCTGACACGGAGGAGGGCAGCAGATTGGAGGCAGGGATGTCGTCATCATGGTCTCTGTCAGCAACTGCATTTCCAAACAACACAAGCCTTGAACCAGCATGACACTCCTCCATGCTTCAATCTGAGCATTGTCAATTATGCCATCAACCTCATGAGACTCTTCATGCGCCGCAGGAGATTTAAATGTCCTGCCTGTGTAGGGCGCATATCTGAAACACAGGCCAGAAAGCTAACATGCGCATACAGAGAACCACTTGTAGCCCAAACAGAAACCGTTGCGGCAAATGTCGTCTGTATCTTCTGCGCAAACTGCGGCAGTGCTGATCGCTGCTAGTCCTGTTGTTGTTCCCGAATTTCTTGCACAGCTGATTCAATTGCGAGCTCATGGGCTTCAACTTTTGATATGGCTCAAGAGCCTCTGCACAGCTGTCGCCTCACGAGGAACACACTAGAACCGCCTGTTGAACCATGGCCCTGCTTGCCTTGCGCCGCGGGTTCAAGTCATTTCGATTGCCCTCCGTGAGGCTGGTGACAGTCCGAAGGACCTGCGAACCCGCGAAGCGTTTCTGGTGGGGATCCGGAGATGAGCATACACACGTTTGCCTGCTCACCGTTAACCCACACGATCAGGTCTCCCAAAGGGTTGATGTGGACTCCGACCTCGGAGGTGTGGCGAATATCTCCACAGTTCTGAGCCGTTTGAACAGCCTTGGGGCCCCCAAGCCCTGGAACGGTGCAAGGAAGGCAACGGCGGCATGAGCTTGAAAAAACCCGATACGAATGCAACTATCATGCCCTGCAGACAGCGCTTCTTCGGGATGCCCGGCCACGTCTCCCACGACCAAGGACTTCGGATCCCAGGCAGTCTGGGTGAACCACTCTCCACCTGCGAAGGCCGGAAGCTTCCAACGTTCGTCACGAGCCGTAATCACATCCGGGCCCCGTGCTGTCCACGACATGCTTCCCGTACCCGATTAGGATTGTTCCTGTGCAGGCGCGAGGGGAATTGGAGGTTTGGAGCGTATGCAGGACACTTTTGGTACAGCTCAGCATTGGACCTGGGATTTCGTAGGCGTACATGGTACGTATGCCGAGCCTCGGTGGATGATGCTTGCCAGATCCCAGCGACTATGGAAAGCGGCAACCTGTAGCCAAGCGAAGCTGGGCGTGACGGCTTGTGCCCGCCCGGGAGGTGCGAGACGCCAAACGCCAGGGACATGTCGCGGAGCGAATCTAGCCTGCAGCTCGTGCTGTAGTGGCTGGGAATGGGTTGTTTTAAGGATGGCCAGGTACCACGGGCTTGAAATGCTTCTGGCGCATGAGTCCTCGGCACCCTAAGCCCTACAGTAACTGCTCGTCGAGTCAGTCTCAAGGAAGGCTTCTTGCTGCCAGTTTCTATCAAAGGCCGGGAGCCGGGTAAGGGTGGATCTTGAGCGACTGAGCACGGAGCGGGAAGTGCTCATCGTCCACAGCGTCGATCTGCGTGGAGTGAACACCAAAGACAATCATATCCAGATACTGAAGTTTTCAGCTCTTTCAAGCAGATCCCGAACTACAGGCACGCCATGTGATACATACATACATTCACCAGCAGTGTCAGCCTTGAATGCGTAGAAGTACCCGGTGCACAACAGGTGACTCCCGCTGAAGAGGCGTATGTAGCCATTGCCGTAGACGACACCGCCTTCACAGTCCGCGACACGCTCAAGCATCCTCGAACCAAAACTCGAAAAGGGCCACCCGCGCCCTTTGCCAAAAAAAGCAAGTCTAAATGTCGCTGCATCATCCCAGACTGGCAAAAAGAGCGGCACCGACACCAATGATCGCAGTCGTCTCTGCACCTGCGGCCAGCTCCGCGTCCCGCCGATGTGCACGTAGGTCACGATGGGAGATATGAATATTCCAACTCCTGGACACGAAGCGTGCCATGCTGAAACAACGACATCAACTCTCGCTCGCCCCCCGTTTTGGCAGCAGGGCTTTGCCGGATTGCAATGCCCAATGCTACAGGAAAACAGCGCAGCGGAACGGCTGAGCGGGCAGCCAAGATAATTAAAAGCGAAGCGCTGCGCGTTTGGAAACCACCTCGAGCCTCGAGACATCCGATTTTTGTACGTTGACATCAGGGTAGCTAAGAAACTGCTGCGGCGTAGGAGGTCGTTCTCAGAACCCGAGACCCTCCATGCCTCCATGTGCCGAGGTGATACTGAATCGGCAAGAAGCCGCAACCGCCGAAGCCTGTTCTACGAGATGACCGATTGTCCGGGTGAAACGTCGTGAAAACGCGATCTGGTCCGGGAGCAGGAAGCGCTGCGCACGCGCGCTCTTCAGTGCCCTCGGGGTTTTCAGGAGCAGAAGTCTCAGAGCTCCGCGTGGTTCTGCGTGCTTCTTGCCTTCGGGTGAAAGCATTCCAGAGCACTCTCTGCCTTCCCTGGGTATCTTGTTGGATGACACTGCAACAGCCTTAAGGGGATTTGACGTAGAGCGGACTGCCCCCAAACCCCGCTCAGGCTCAGAGCCTTCACCTGGTGTGGGCAGTCATCATCCAGAGCACCATCATCGTCGAGGCAGTCGGCCCAAGCCAAGTCTGGGTGGTAGATCTGGCGCAAAAGCCACAAACACAGCCTCTCCCCCCCTCTCGGCCCATGCCAACGCTTCAGTCGCCCATGGCCGGCCTTGATCTCCAAGATGGTTCTCGGCTCGTCCGTGGCTGCGGTGGCCAGGCCTTGGAGGAGAGGAAAAGAAATTCCTGCAAGTGTCCTTTTTTCCCCAACCTAACCATTCCGATGACCCGACTGCAGCAACCCTGCTGCACCTGGCACTTTCTACTTCAAGCCAGAGGACGATGGCCGTAGCTGTCATCCAGCAGGACGCAGTGCCCTGGACGCAACACCACAGCTCACCGTTTTGTTCATTGTAGTGCAGGGCTTCACCTCCAGAATCTCCTCACATCGCAAATCCCTCCCCAAAGCTGAACACTTCGGAAGGTGATGATGCTGGTACAGCTCGCTCTTCTCCACATCGCAAATTGAGAAAATCTCAACTCAGATCTTCATCATCACGCAACAATAGCTACAGGACCTGCTCTGACTCCGCCGTGGATGGAACGATTCTGTTTCGGACATGCTCCGACTGCTTGCCTCGACGCCACGTTAGCTCCTGGTCTGCGATGAACATGGTAACATTGCCTTCGGAGCTGAGGAATGCTGTTGCCGAGAGGCTCGGTGAGAACTCATGCGCGTGCAGTCTTCCGGTCGCCTTGTCTTTGACACTCCTTTACATGCGGTCGACAGGTCGATCCATCCCCCTGATTCGTGAACTGGCCCTTGCGCTGTCGAAAAGTTTAGGTCATAGCAGGTTCGCTTAAGGATTCGTCTGCGTGCAGCATGTCAGCGCAGTGTCACAAGATGTAGTGATTGTAGTGCCTCTACAATATACCTACACCTAGACCCGAGCCCATGGATAGCCGTGTCACCAGAGAGCGGTGCCCGGGAAGATGGGACTGAAGCGCGTAACCCAAGTCGGCCAGGCTGCTCGGGTTGTAAACGCCGCAGTGAATCTTGATGCGTTGGTTGGTTGCCGCAGTGTGGTCCATAACCTCCAAGGCGGAATGGCACAAGGCATGGGCCCATTTCACTTGGCAGCAAAAGCCTTGGCTCCTTCAACTCCGTCGCGAAGCACGTCTCAAGTCATGTGAATTGAGGTTGTGCAAGTGGCATGTTGTGCTTGTTGTCGCTGTGCTATGGCTGAGATCAACACATTCACCGAGAAGCCGAGAACCCAAAGATTCCATACCCTGGGGAAGATCACAGCTGCACACAGTGCCTCCGTGTTGGGGTTCATGCGCGAAAATCTTGCGGAGAGCAGCGCTTCTCTCGCGGGCCAGATGTCCTGAATATCTTGGACCTCAACAGTCGAGATTAGTTGCCATCAAACTTTCGATGCGGCGTTCCAACTCCTTGCTGCTTCATGAAAGCCGAGTCGCCAGATCGCACACCTTCGGATGCCACTTAGCTTCGCATTTGTCGTCTTGCCTGGGTAGGAGTATTTCGAGACACTCGATAGCATCAACTAGCCAACTAGTACGGAGCAACTCAGCGACAGGTAATGCTTGGTGACATAAAGAGCAACAGCCGAAGATAGACTACATGGCCCTTCGGGCTTGCCAAGCCAAACAATTCCCCAAAGGTCTTGCAATGGTTTTCCATGAGGGCCCAGGAGCCAGATCCACGCGAGCTCCCAGTGACCAGCATTATGCAAGCCTTCGTCGTGCTCCTGTCTTCTGTGCAGAAAAGTCTTCAGATAGTCGGCTGAGACTACCAAACATAATCATGGCGTGTCAGCCATACTCAGAAGACCGATGCAGGTACATGCCAGCGTGATCGAAGATTTCAATTATTTTCGCATTATTCCACCAACAAATCATGCAAGAACTTGCAGCCGCCAGCCGTCATGCAAGAGAATCGAAAAGGATTTTTGTCGTGGCCCTTCACAGAGAAGGACACGGCCTCCCTTTTTCTGCTGCACCTCTTGCTTGAGTTCCCAAAGATCCGAATCTCCAGGAATCCCGGAATCCCTGCACAATATCAAACCAACCGTTAAGCCACACGAACTCCCTCAAGAATCCTCGAGCCACCCGCCTTTATACAGGTTTGCCACAAGTCGAGAGCGCCTGCCAGGCACCCGCATCATTCGCCGCGGCAAACGCAGGAAGGATGACATCACTGAAGTTTCCTCAGCTCCAGCGACTGATGGCGGAGCTGCGGCGCATTTCCTGTTGCGCCAAATATGTTTGACAATTCGAGGGTGCGGTACTGCTGCCGTGCCATTCTCTCTCTCTCTCTCTCTCACAGAGGCAGAGGGATTGCCTGCATCCCGATCTGGGACCAGCTCGTGCAGAAAGCAAGCGTGCAACCCGAAATCATCCCGGCGGCCTTCCAACCACGACAAAGCCGAAGCGGGTCCTGTCATGGAAACGTGCGGCTCGAAAGGTTCTGTGATCGGCCCGCAAAAAGGCCCTGCGCCTGGCCAAGGAACTTCCTGCGTCTCTGGGTCTATCAGGACAAAGGGTGTCAGCTGCTCATTCAGCCTTCAATCCGAGGGGCAACAGAGCATGGATCGAAGGATTGCTTTCTGGGGAGCAGGCGAGCCTCTCTGTCCACTGGTAGGGGCTGGGCGTCAACCCCAGCTGGTACAGTCGCTGCGAGACCCTCTCCTCGAATAACCAACAGTGGCTTCGGGGGTCTGGGCTTTGCGACTGTCGCATCGCTGCGAGTTTGGTTGATACGTCGTCTGTCTTGGGAAGCCCTTGCCCGAATTTGACCTCGAAGCTGGCTGGATAAGGATCTCCGGACATTCAAATACGACTACTTCAAGGTGGCCCGACTCAACAAACCTACTGCACCAGTGACATGATCCGACATAGTCGCTTTGCAGACTACCTGGACTGTCAGACACCCACAAAGCCCAAATTTCGATCCCCAGATGCCATCAGCTCTGCGCGGCGAGGATGATGCGGATGGTTTCGCGAAAGCCAGTCCATGACATCTACCTGGGTTCGGCGGTCGGCATCGATCATGCTCCATGCTGCCACGACGAAACCGCCGTGCTACTTCGGGATCACGGTGCAAGGATCCTGAGAAGTTGTCCTAAGGAGTGAGTAAGCTGCCAATGCTGCAGGAGCCTGCAGAACCCAACGTAACCTCCGCCGAGTACACCCGAACGCGGTGAACGGTGAACGGCATGTGATGAGGAAAAGCGTTGGCATGTCGGGCCAAGTTGCATGAATTTCGCGTGCATCGGTTCGGGAACGGTTTGTTTTCAAATCGCCTAAGTGACCGATGAATCGACCACAGCTCGGCGCAGCGCAACGTGTTGCAAGAACGCGGGCCTCCATTGACTTCTTTGAAGTCATTCCAGAGTTTATCGTCCTCGGACCGGTGCTATTTCTCACAAGTCAGAGGCATCGTCCGATCTGAAGCAGGCAAGGTCTACAGCAAAAACCTCGAATGCTGCGCACCTCGAGAACCCTTCACTACACTGAACTCTGTTCCAGTGCCGCCAAGGCTCAGGAATCTCTGCGTTTTCACCCTTTGTGAGATTTACCTCACTGCCAAGAAGCCTGCAGTCTGCGCAAGGGGCTCCCGAGCAGGCAGCCGGCATGCAGTCATGAGTCTGAATGAGGCGAGGCGAGCCAGGGTGAGGGAGCAAATTAGAAGAACACGGGGAAGAGAATGCGCAGGAGGGGTGGACAGGAAGAGAGAGAGAGAGAGAG